CTCAAATCATACAATAACAGTTATATACAGAGTTGTGTTCAATGACTTGACAATCAAAAACATAAGGAATAGTACAATAATGATGACTAAAGATGGTTTGACATTATATTGTCCAAAACTCTTTAATGTTAAGTTCTTTAACGTGTCAAAGATGGGGCAATTCCCGCCCGACCTTATACAATGAGCTGTTTTCAAAAATTTGACAATCAACAACCGTTACAACTAGTAAGATATGATGACATTAATATAATGAGTCTTACAAACAAAGACAATATTGTTACCTGCTTTGTCAGCAGGGACCAGTACGTACTGATCATGTAATCTATGTTTGTATAACATATCTTTGCAACAAATGCATCAATCAAAATGATAAAAACATACTTAGAACTCTTAGAAGACTCTCGATTAACCCTGTAAATCCCAGAGAAAAATATTGAAAAACAAAAAAGTTACAAATTTAACATTTTTTAATTCACTTCCGTTTGCGACCGGAAGTACGAACGATGGAAAATAATGGTCGATCAACATATCTACATTTGATGCTCTATCACCTCAGCAAGTTTCATATTCATATCTTATCATATATATCGAAAGACCTTAATAATAACAAGTAAACTAATTGTTCAGAGAACAATTAGAGGCCTTTCCACCTTTTTAAGTGTTTTCGTGTCGTTTAGGCCGAAAAAAAGAAAAATGCCAAAATAAAAAAGCAAAAAAATCCAAAAAAAAAAAAAAAAAAAAAAAAAAAAAAAAAAAAAATCCTCCTCCAGCTGGGATCGAACTCAAAACCCTTGGTTTGAAAGGCAGGTGCTCTAACCACTGCGCTACACATTCCGATAAAATTGAGCAAGTTAATTGTTTAAGACTATAGAATAAATACAAGCGTATTTTTAGAATCGGTAGGGGAAGAAAGAAGTTCCGTAAAAGGAAATAGTTCCTGAACTTGCATGCAGTATATAAAATAACAAGGGACGGGTGTGCGTGAGAAAACGTTAACACTGTTCCCTAATGAAAATGTATTAATGGACTGTAGCCCGATTCATCGATATTGTGAGCATGCTGAATTTTTTGAAAATAGCTTTGTTGTAAGCTTAAAAGATCGGGTTCGGATTTTAACATTTCTGACTGAATATCCTGAAATTAATATGAAACATTTAAATAAGCATTTCTTTGGGTTAAATTAAATATGTGTAGCACAAATTAAACTCCCAACATGCATTTTTAGAAGGGAAACCCAACAATGAAAGCGAGAATTGTTTTTAATATACCGAAAATCGCTATTTCTGGAAACTGATTAATTCTAAATAAAAATCAAATAAATTCCAAATGTAAAAGAAAGAGAGAATGCTTGGTATTAAAATGTCGTATCATATCAGGAAAATCGAATGCTACTAACGACATCTGAAGAAATAGCCGATAAAAGGTTTAGATCATTTCTTCGTTCACCTGCACTTTAATTTCAAACACAACAGAACTTGTAGTTTTTGCCGTGAAACTTCATGACTTCTATAAACTTATAAGACTCATCGTAAAACTCTCAAGAAAGTTTCTCTGAGGTCTATACTACAAATGTACCAAATATGTTGTCGATCCGAGGTCTGGTTTGAATTTTACAGAAATATTCTACGTTGTTGTTGATGTGATTTTTTTTAAGAAGGGGGGGGGGAATGAATTATTTATTTTATGCCTCTTTTAAACTAAGAATTGTAACTACTTTCACATCTTTAAGCCTGATTGTGACCTTTGGATCAAGATCAAAGGTCAAGATCAAAGGTCAAGGCCATTTCAAAAAAAAAAAAAAAAAAAAAAAAAAAAAAAAAAAAAAAAAACCAAAACAAAACAAGGAAATCTTTACTTTCTATGTTTTTACCTGATACTGGAGCTGGATGCATGTCCTTACTTTTCATTTGACCCAATGTCAAGGCCAAAGGTCAAGGTCAAAGTTCAAGGTCATTTGGTGAATTGCTATATTTCACACATATATAAGGAATTTCTTATGTTTTTAAATGACTTTGACCTTGACCTATATTTCAAGGTCAAAGTCAAACATGCCGATGCAGTTGGTCCCATGTCTCTAGGATACACCGTTTTAAAAAAGGTTCATTAAATGTAAGCAGCATAAACTTTCAGGGGCAGTAACTCATACAAGGGACCAAAGAATGCTTTTGCGATGATAGAATGAAGAGAGTATTAAATGAGTCGAAGACACTGCTGAAGGCTTGGAATCTCTACGTTTTACGGTTTGGGAGGAGTAGCGATAACAAGGTTTTATTGCAAAAGGGGTGACAACTTTTGAATGGGTCAAGCTTTGGGGACAAGAATGAAATCTTAAAATAGTTTTAGAAGGACATATCATAGATGCAAAGATATTCAGTATATGTCGAAAGGTTTTCTACAGAATCTCTGACAAAAAAGCTTTTAAAAATCAGCAAAAACTACCATACATGTTTTTAAAGAGAGAGAAGTCATTAGCAACTGAAAAAAAGAGAAAAACAAAGAAAAAAAATTAACTACCTCCAGCAGGATTCGAACCCCAGACAGTGGGACAAAGTTTGGATCAGTCATATCTTTGCAATAAATGCACGCATCAAAATATTGAATACATATTTAGAATTCTTGTAAAACACTCTATAAACCCTGTAAATCCTAAAGAAAAATATTGAAAAACAAAAAAGTTGAAAAATTGGATTTTTTGAATTCACTTCCGTTTGCGACCGGAAGTGCCGACGACGAAAAATAAAGGTCGTTCCCCACATTGGAATTTGATGTTCTATTTATTCATTGAGTTTCAATTTCATATCTTTAGCCGTTGTCGAGAAAAATTCTGGACAAAATGCCATTTAAAAAATACAAATTTCCCCAAAAATCGCGAACGGAAGTGATTTTTGAAAAAATGAAAAACACGTCTGGAGATATTAACATGATGCATCTTCCGCGAAAAAATCTCTGAAATCTGCTTACTCACAGCTGAGATATCGCCATAACTATGAAAAAAAGAATAATAATAATAATAATAATAGAAAACAGACGGAAAACAATAAGGTCTTCCGAAGGAAGTCTGAAGACCTTAATTATGGAAAAGTATCATTTTGGAAATATTCAAAAATGTTACTGCATACAAAATAAAGAATATTTTAGCAATATTAAGCAGTAGTAACAATACTTGGCAGAAACAAATTATTCGATGTTGATCAATTGAAAATGTAATGGTCTGAGTTGGTCTCTTTCGATCAAATGCTTATCGGAGATAGAACCACGTGGTTTATTGATTTTTTTTTGTATTCACAAAGTTACCTGAGTCTACAAATCATGTGATAAACTGGAATATGAAACAGGTCACAAGAAGTCAATGACATGTAAATACCCATGAATACTGAAGGAAACGGCCAGTGTTTTTATACCTTTTTTCAAAAGACACAGGCTTGCCCAAAATTCTCCTTTGCATTTGTTGAATTTCCAACAGTTATACATTTTCTGTCCTTTTGAGAAATTTGGGCAACAATGCGCTCACCAAGTATGATGGCTTTAAAAATCGAAATAACTTTGAATATCAATGGAGATTCGTGAATTTCAGTGACCCATCTTACAAAAAACAGCTTCGTTCTTTATTTTTACTGACTTTTAATATCTGTAATTTCACAAAAATGCGATTTAGACATATAAGAGTCGCATTATTAATTTCATGGGGCTATTTTCTTTATTTATGCACAATTTATTGGGGGCCACATTTTGTACACTAAATGTAATCATTCTTTCAGAACTATCAACATTTTCTTTTCTAAAGAGAACAAGTTTAAAAGTTAGCTATGGACATGTCTTGTGTTCTCTTTGTCACCTTGTTTGTTTCTTTTGTTTCTGTTGGCACGTGCCAACAAAATTTCGCATGCATTGCCTCAGTGCACATAGAGCTCAGGTTGACCAGATAAGACAATAGCATCCCAGGTAATTGTTGGCTTAAAAAAAATCTACAGTTGTAAAACGCAGCAAATTGGTCGGGTGATGTGGTCAATTGTTTGTCAATTAAATTCTCACTCATTAGAGATATTCTCTAGACATAGATTAATGTTAGGTCATAATTGTACAAGTGAGCATAAAATTTAAATTGTGTAAACAATCCTTGATGTTATTAAAGTTTTAAAGAATATTTCAGGAGAACCAAGATTCTGAAAAAGAATGATCAATTATTTTAAAACTTTTGAATATAAGATTTAACCATCATTGCAAACAGGTGTAGCATAATATTTTGATACCGGGAAATATTGAACCCGGGTTCAATATATCGCATAATATTTTAAACCCGGGTTCACTTTTCGCTATGGTATAATGAATCCCCCTCTAAAATATTGAACCAGGTAGATTCAAAATATTATGGCAATAATATATTGACCCCGGGTTCAAGATATTATGGTTGTGAAATATGGAAACCCCCCCCCTCTGTGAAATATGGACCCCCCCCCCCCCCCCCCCCCCCCGGATTAATGTAGGGCAAAATACTTCAAAAGAAAACTGCACCAAAAAACTTGAACCTGGGACACCAACTTATTTGAATCATCCTGTTTAAATTTAGTTAAAGTTTAAGACTTTTTTCTAAGTTAATTTTCTTGCTTATTCAATTTCTAATGCCAGAAAAATGATATCTTGCGAGTGCAAAAAGGTCAAATAAATGATTACGTGAAATTCAGTGACAATTTCAGGGTAAAGTGGTCATATTAAATGTAGTGTAGTGTCAAAAGAAGCATATTGATCCCCATGTTTTATTTTGATTTTTAATTCAATAAGTTATGTGTGTAGATACTTAAAATATACCATACTTGACAAAAAAACTCTCAAAACTTTTGAAAGCATGGGCCAACCTCCCTATATGGACCAAAAAAAAAATATATATATATATATAAACCTACCTATCTACCTACCCAGATTGAAAATGATTGGTTGGAGAAGGGCAAACAAAAATATTTTTAATTTTAGCCTGACTGTTTCTTCAGAAAGAAGATTCTTACTTTTGTTGTCTGCTGTTGACAGTGGTACAGACCAGGGTGAGCTACTGAATAGTGAGTACGTCCCTTGTTGGGTTGGCTGTTGTCCTGTTCTTTCTGCACAAGTCTCTACCTCTGGTCCAGGCACTGGGCTACAGAGATGACAGTTATTTAAAAATCAGATTTTAAATCTATTTTCTTGTGGTGAAGTGATATAAATTATTGGAATGTTTAAACCAGAGTATATATTTTTGAGTTCATTGAGTATTTAACATACGGCGTGGAGCTACAGGTATATTCTGGAGTTCTAACACATCAAACCTTCTTTTAATATACTGATGCAATTACGGTAATACAAACTCCTTATTCTGACCCCTTTTTAACACTGGGAGTCCTGACTTGAATAAAAATTAAACATACAGCATGCAATTGCTTGTTTCTTAATTATGGTGGCATATTTCTGCCCCCTACATGCAAGATAAATTATCTTAACATGCAACATAATTATGTAGACATGCAATTTATTTATGTCAACATGCAAAATAATTATGTTGACATGCAAGTTACCAATCTCTTTACACGATATAATTTTAATGTTAGTAAAATTACTTACCAACGCCATTATATAACATGATACAAGCAAGATGCAATAGAATTATGTTGACATGCAAGATAATTATGTAGACATGCCACTTATTTATGTCAACATGCAAGATAATTATGTAGACATGTAACTTATTTATGTCAACACGCAAGATAATTATGTTAACATGCGAGTTAATTATGTCAACATGCACGAGATGTAAGTTGACATGCAACTTATTATCTTGCATGTTGACATATTTATCTTGCATGTTTAAAAAGAACTCGCATTTTGACATAATTAAGTCACATACTGACATAAATAAGTTGCATGTTGACATAAATAAGTCGCATGTCTACATTATTATGTTGCATGTTAACATAAATAAGTCGCATATTGACATATATATCTTGCATGTTAACATAATTATCTTGCATGTTAACATAAATAAGTCGCATGTCAACATAATCCTGTTGCATCTTGCATATATGATGTCATATACCAGTGTTAGTAAGTTTGTTTACCAACATTAAAATTAGATTCTCTAAAAAGATCAATAACTTCCATGTCAAAATAGTTATTATGCATGTAGACATAATTATCCTGCATGTTGACATACTTTTCTTGCATGTAGGAGGCAGAAATATGCCACAATACTTACTGTAAGAAGAAATAGCATTTTCATTTATTGGTTTAAAAAAATCCTATTCATTACTAAAATTTAAAACACTGACAACACCCAACATTGCAAGTGAGAGCATTAAACTGATAGAACCCAGTTTTTCAAAAGAAGATCAAACTCCAAAGTCAATGTCATAAGGTCAGAAATATTAGTACTTTTATACATGTATGCAGTTTAAAGATTAGGATTCATGAAATCGGGGACCTTTATACGTCCTTAATAAAATGTTTTGGATTTAAATTAAATCAAATTAAGATAAGAATAAATGATTTAATTGAATGGTCCGGTATGATTTAAAAGATAATTTTCCGTAAATCATTGTGTCAGCAAAATGAAAATAGAACGACAATGTTTTGTGTATGAGCACTTAATAGCTGCTTCCTCGGCTACATAATTAGGTTACATACTTGTAAACAAATACAGAACCCGGGTATATGTGAAACGCAGTTAAATGCAGTTAAAGACTGATTTATTTTTTGCTAACTTTTTTTTAAAAATTTAATATAGTGTAACAGTATATTTCAACATTAAACGGCGAAAAGATGTTTTGTTTACGAACACAGGTCGCTGGTTCACACGCAATGGATCTTTTGTAATTTCGGCCACAATAATTTAATAAGTATATCACCAACATGACCAACATAGATAAGATGAAATAATTTGAAAGATCCGATTTGATTAAAAAAAAACAATTATCCGTACATAGTTGAGTTTGCAAAATAGATTTAGAACGGCAATGCCTGTTTAGTGTATGCATGGCCACTGATCACTGGATCTAAGCACAGAACTTTAAACAGTTTATAGAAGAAGCCCTCTTTCCCCGAGTTTTAGGGATGGGTTGCAGGTCCCCCTTTACCCTATGGGATCTTTGAAATTGGCTTCTAATAAATATTTACTCCTGGTACACATAACTCTTAATAATTTTTAACTTTAAAATTTGTTAAAATTTATTACTGCGACTATTTAATTACAAGAATTCTTAAGTCAGAATTTTTTGAGTTTGTGTGAAAGCGCCACCCCCCCCCCTCCCCCCCCCCTTTGGGAAAAATGGATCTGTTCTTGTAATGATTTTTAACATAAAATGCCAACACAAAGGATTAGTAACAATTTTCTTAATATCTGTATTTGAGACTATTTATACATGTAGATTTATCAACATTTCTTAAAAATGAAACCACTCTTTCTCTCTCTATGTGTCGGTGAAAATTTGACTATTTGATGATGTATGTTCCAAGATCGTAGCAGATCTCCTTTGCAGAGTTGTCGTTCATTTCCGTCTCTGATCAGCTAAACTTAGCAGCTGGGTGATAGATATTACATGTAACTTTATTTAAAACGAACAGCTCTTCAAGCTGCTAGATGTTAGATTTGATACAAAAAAAAATTAAAAAAAAAAAACACCAAACAAAAAAAAAAAGAAAAGAAAAAAAAACTTCGGCATCATGTAATGCTAAGTAGTAAGAATTAAGGAAGGCATCTTGGCTTTGTACACTGATTCTTCATGTGACTGGTCTTTTAAAAATTGCGGCATAAAAAGTCACAGGCTATAATTTAGACTGCATTTTGTAATGTGCCGACTTCTGAATGCATTATTTTTGTAACTTGAAAAATATCTCGTATAAAACCCAACCACCAAAAGTTATTTTTATGAATATATTGATTAACGTGCTAGCCGCGAGTGTTCATGAGTTCGAGTCCTGCAGTAACCATCTTTTTGTATTTATCAGGCACGCAGAATCGTTTTTTGTTTTGTTTTTTGAACTGGGGAGGGGAGGAGGTCCAGAAAAGAAATGTTTGACACCCTGAAAAGACTGACAAGCAAAAAAACAAAAACAAACAAACAAACAAAACTGTCCGAACTCGAAAATCCTAGCTGTGTCGGGGGGGGGGGGGGGGGTAAACAAATACATATATTAAGCATTACATCATATTCATTATTTGATTATACTACAAAAAAAATGGAGGACCAGCTTTTCAATGAACATTTTCAACTGTAAAAGGTTATGTCTGAAAAAAGGGGGGGGGGGGGCAGACCTCCCATGATACTGCGTGCCTGTAGAGACGAGAAAAATATTTTGTTACGCTTTACCTTAATTCATTCCAAAAACTAATGGTTTATCACAAAATAGAATACTTCATTGTATTTCAAGAATTTGACTTTCTCTTAATTGACATCTGTATACATGCTTACAATGCGTAAGCGACATATCGTTAAAAAAGGAGCAGGATCTGATTTTAATCAGATTGAATCTACAGGAATCATGTGTACAAATCGTTGTCCAATCAAGCAGAATTGGTCGGCTGACCACAGCTGACTGTAGAGACTTTACAAAAGCTACACAAATAGGAAAATGTAACATTACATTAAAATACCTTGTTTAAAAAATTGTATTATTCAAGTCTTCTTATCTTAATTAAAAGATCGTATACTTCACTTAAGTAAATAGCTATAGGTAAAAAAAGGTATTGTAAATTATGCAAATGTATTAAATTGGATATTAAGATCTTCTCGATCTCATTGACAGTCGGTATGTACAAATTTAAGTATAGATTGGGGTAAAATAAACCAAAATGCAAATGGTTAGGTTAAAGCTTAAAAAAGATCAAAGATCATCGGATGCCACAGTAGACGAATTTCACATTCTTACGAGTTGTCTCCCGTTGTCGACATAACATTCAATTACATGCACAGAATTTTTTCCGGGGGGGGGGTTCCACACCTCAGTCAAAAACATTTCCAGCCCAGAATTTCCTTAGAAGCAAAAAAAAAAAAAAAAAACAAAAAAAAAAAAAAAAACAAACAAACAAACAAAGAAAAAAAAACAATGATGGTGGGGTCCGTTTTTTTTTATAGGGGGGAGGGTGTCCAAAGTCATTTTTTTATTTGCTTCTGTAAATCAGTATAATCATAGTCCTATTTGAATAACTCTGCAAATTCCAAGGGGGGGGGGGGGGGATGTGACGGTTTATACTGTCGTTTTGTACATATTGTCGTCGGCGACAATATGTACCTACCCTCACTGCATATATTGTCGTCCATTGATACATATTGTCGCCGGCTGAAAAGTTACACATGTACATATTGTCGCTGGCGACATTATGTGCCTCACCCTCACTGTACATATTGTCGTCCCACAAATATTGTTGCTTAAAGATTTCTTTCGTTATTTTTTGGTAGTTTTGTGACTGTAATTGGTGTGTGAATCACACTGACGTGTCTCATGCTATTTCATGCAGCGTGATTGTGATGGTACATTTTGTCGTCCTGTTCATATTGTCGCCGGCGACAATGTGTACCTACCCTAACTGCGAATATTGTCGTCCATCAGAACATGACAATGCACGGCAATGCTCCATACACATGTAAAGAGAAACCAAAAACTTCAAAAATGGTCATATACACTTAATTTGATCGCCGAAATATGGCTGAAATATTGCCTACTCAGCGTTAAACATTAATAATTGATCAATCAATCCATATAAATCTGACTAATCATTGCTTTGCTGTTTTTGAGAAGATAATTTTTAAAGAATTTTCCCATATATTCCTAAGTAAAACTTTGATCGCCCATTGTGGCCTCACCTTAGGCCCAGTTTGATTTGAAGATACTTGAATCTGCGCTACCTGAGGATGCCTCCACATAAATATCACTAATCAGGTGCCTACTGCTGTTCTCAGTGGTGAATCCAGAAATTTCAGAATGGAGGGGGGGGGGGGGGGGGGAGGGGTGAAGGTGGTTCAGAATTTTTTTTTGACAAGCAAAAAAATTTAAAAAGCCATTTGTATGTTAAGGAAAAGCAGGAAAACATCAAACCACTGGGGGGGGGGGGGGGGGGGGTGCTACATCTGTCTGGTTTTTGAAAAGACTTTTTAAAGATTTTCTGTATATATTTCTATATACAACTTTGATCATCCATTGTGGCCCCACCCTACTCCTGGTGTCATGATTTAAACAAAATTGATTTTGTTTTTGTTTGTTTGTTTGTTGCTATAATGTCCATCTTGAGAATTTTTTCATTCGTAAGTAGACATCACCACTTGCTGGTGGAGGGCTGCAAATTTAGACCTATACTTGGCACTCAGGGTCATTGAGCAGTGAGGTACTTTTTTGAGGGAGCACCTAAAAATTGAACTAACGCTATGCAACGAAGCTTTCACGTAAGTATCATCTCTTCTGATCCAGTACTTCTTGAAAAAAAATTGAAAGTTTTTTTTTAAATATTCTATGAAAAACTTTGATCACCTATTGTAGCCACACCCTTCCCCGAAGGACATGATCTGAATAAAACTGAATCTACACTTAACTGATGATGAAGCTTTCACATAAGTTTCAACTTTTCTGACACAGTGGTTCTTGAGAACATTTTTAAAAGATGTCACTAAATTTTCAATAATTCTTAACTTCTATTCTTGAAAGAGGGCATGACCCTTCATATGAACAAACTTGAATTCCCTTTATCCACGGATTCTTTGTGGCAAGTTTGCTTGAAATTGACCCAATAGTTCTTGGGAAGAAGCTGAAATTGTGAAAAGTTTACAGACAGAGGGATGGTCAGACAAAATGTGATCAGAAAAGCTCACTTGAACTTCCAGTTCAGGTGGTCTAAAAATGTCAACCCCTACACCAATTATATCAGCACATGATTGTACATAAGAATAACGCAAAAAATAATTTTCAAATAATCATTACTACTGAACAAAAAAAACCGTATACATGTACAGTGTATTCAATCATCAAGTATATATTACAAGAAAACAGAAAAGGCCGATTTATCAGATATCTTAAGAATCACGATATCTTGACATATCATAGTGATGTACATCAATCCTGGACACAATTTTCTGACCAAAAAGTTTTCTCCTACAGTATTGCGAGGAATGCTGTCTGCCTCCCTTCGTGCTTGTGTGTGTGTGTGTGTGTGTGTGTGTCAATCTTTCTTTCCTTTCTAAAGTAAATATTCGTCAAAGCAATATATCAACGACAACATATGCCGACCTTGACTGTACATATTGTCGCCGACGACAATATGTGCTGGTGCTTGACTGTACATACTGTCGCAGACGACAATATGTGCTGGTGCTTACTGTACATTTTGTCGTCCATTATGCAGGAGAAAAATAAGGCTCGTCTCGGTACATATTGTCGCCGGTGAAAGTGTCACACCCTCTTTCAAGGGGGGATAATCAAGAATTACTGAAAATTTGGTGGTATCATTTAAAAAAGTCTTATCAAGAACCACTGACTGGGCCCAAAAAGTTGAAACTTTCTTTTACATAGACATAGTGTAGATTCAAATTTGTTCAAATTATGACCCACTGGGGTAGGGTGGGGCCACATATGGGGATCCAAAGATTTACAAAGAAAAATGCAGGGGATTTTTTCCATCATAAATCTTCTTCTCAAGAACAGCAAGGGCATTATTGTCCCCCGTTTTCGCGAAAGGGACCTAGGCGACATTAAATCTCATTTGTCTGTCAGTCTGTCTGTTTGTCAGTCTGTCCGTCTGTCACAATAAATTTAACCTTGGTCATAACTTTTGAATAATAAGAGATAGGGCTTTCATATGAACATAACCTACAAGAACTTTCTAAATATACTATGATCTTTGAACCCCTGACCATGACCTTGAAGTTTGACCTACTTTTCAAAAATTTTACATTATTTTAAATTGATCATTTTGAAAGAGAAAAGATAGGGCATTCATATTATACATGTATATTACCTGTGACAAGACCTTTCTAAATATATCATGACTTTTGACTCTGTGACACTGACCTTGAAGTTTAACCTACTTTTCAAAAATGTTATATTTCTTTATAACTTTTGATTGAGAAGAGATAGGACTTTCATATTTGACATGTACATTACCTGTAACAAGTTGTTTCCAAGCATGCCATGATTTTTTACCCCTTGACCTTGATGTTTTACCTAATTTTCAAAAAATTTAACTTCGGTGATTACTTTTGAATGACATATGATAGGCGTGCATATTTGAAACAATATGCCATAAATAATGGCATCCCATCCACTAAGACACGGAAAGCAGGGGACCCAATTCTTTGAATTTGCTTGTTAGTCATTTTGATATGAAAACATCCTCATATAGTGTAGATTAAAGTTTTTATGCCCCGCCATGAATATGGCCGAGTCATATAGTGTTTGTCATATCCGTCTTACGTCCTTCCATCCTTCTGTCTGTCCTTCCGTCTGTCCTTCTGTTGCGCTTTGCTTTTAGCTCAGTTCAAGGCTCAGTTTCAAAGAAACTATCCAAGATATTTTTATCAAACTGCATATGCTGATAGATATTGATTAGAGCTATGCAACTGCATCAACATTTTTTTGACCTTGACCTTTTTTTTGACCTTGACTTCACTTTTCTTAAACTAGTGTTTAGCTCAGTTTTAAAGATAACATTAAAGATAGTGTAATCAAACTTCATATATTGATGCATACTAATGTAAGCTATTCAACTGCATCAACATTTTTGACCTTGAGTTTTCCTTTGACCTTGACTTCACTTTTTTTTAAATTAGTGTTTAGCTTAGTTTTAATGAAATCATTCAAATTACTGTAATCAAACTTCATATGATGATACATACTGATGTAAGCTTTTCAACTGCATCAACCTTTTTGACCTTGACCTTTCCTTTGACCTTGACCTCACTTTTCTTAAATTACTGTCTAGATCAGTTTTGAATAAGCAATTCAAGATATATTTATCAAACTTCATATGCTGATACATACTGCTGAGAGCTATCAATTGCATCAACTTTTTTGACCTTGGCTTTTCCTTTGACCTTGTCCTCACTTTTTTAAATTAGTGTTTATCTAAGTTTTAAATAATCCATTTATGATAGTTTTATCAAACTTCATAAGCTAATAGTAAATACACACTGATGTAAGCTTTTCAACTGCATCAACATTTTGACCTCAACCTTTCCTTTGACCTTGACCTCTCTTTTCTTAAATAAGTGTTAAGCTCAGTTTTAAATAAATCATTCAAGATATTTTTTATTAAACCTAATATGCTGATATGTATCAGTGAGAGCTATTCAACTGCATCAAAAACTTTTCACCTTGCACTTTCCTGTGACCTTGACCTACCTTCTCTTTAATTTGTATTTTTCTTAGTTTTAAAGAAACAATTTAAGATATTTTTATGTAAGCATGCACTTATACATAATTTGGTGAGAATTTATCATCTATATCCAATTGTTTTTAGATTTTAGTTTCAATTTTAAAGAAACTGTTCAAGATATTCTCATCAAACTTCATACACTCATACAAATTTTCATGTTGCATTAGTAATATACATTCGGCGGGGCATTCATGTCCTATGGACATATTTCTAGTTTTCAAATCATGACCTCCAAGGGTAGGGTCAGGCCACAATAAGGGATCAAAGTTTTACATAGGAATAAAAGGGAAAAAAATCTTCAAAATTCTTCTTTTCAAGAACAACAAGAGCATGATTAATATGGAAATATTCTCAAGAAGTGTAGATTTAAGTTTGTACAAATCATGACCCTATGGGTTAGGGAAGGGCCATTTTTTTCCTGCCCCTATTTGCCATCCACATGGAAATGCAAATTTTGAAACCATTTTATACATTCACAGGACAAAACCAATCATCTTCCAAATGATCATGATTTAAGGCTAATGCAAAAAATATAAGGAAAGTTCTGGGAACCAGGGTATTTAAACATGTTAAATATTTGAAAAAAAATGAACCCCATTTGACCCCCAGGGTGAAAATAAAAATTCCAAAACCTTAATGCACATCTACAGGACACCATCAACCATCTCCCAAAAGATGATTAGGCTTCCATGTAAAATGTAAGAGGAGTTCAGGGAACCAGGGGCTTTTTGTATGAAAAACATCATTTTTTGACCCCCATTTGACCCCCAGGGTGAAAATGATAATTCCGAAACCTTACTGCACATCTACATGACACCAGCAACCATCTCCCAAAATATGATTAGGCTACTGTGTAAAAAGTAAGAGGAGTTCAGGGTACCAGGGGCTTTTTGCATAAAAAACGTCATTTTTCGACCCCCATTTGACCCCCAGGGTGAAAATGAAAATTCCGAAACCTTACTGCACATCTACAGGACACCACTAAGCATCTCCCAAAAAATGATTAGACAACTGTGTAAAATGTAAGAGGGGTTCAGGGAACCAGGGGCTTTTTGCATAAAAAATGTCATTTTTCGACCCCCATTTGACCTCTAGGGTGAACATTCCAAAACCTTACTGCACATCTACAGGACACCACAAACTATCTCCCAAAAGATGATTAGGCTACTGTGTAAAATGTAAGAGGAGTTCAGGGAACCAGGGGCTTTTTGCATAAAAAATGTCATTTTTCGATCCCCATTTGACCCTCAGGGTGAATATGAAAATTCTACATGACACCACCAACCATCACCCAAAAGATGATTAGGCTACTGTGTAAAATGTAAGAGGTGTTTGAGAAAGAAGAGTGTGACAGACGGACGGACGGATGGACAGACATGAGTAACAACAATATACCCGAACTTTCTTTAGAAAGTGCAGGTATAATGAAGTTTGTCTATTACATACTAGTAAATTTGAGAGTACATACTACCGGTACATATTCTTTACTGAGAACATTTAACAGTTTTAAGCTTACCTTCTGTTCGGAGAATTTCCTGTTTCATGTATAGGTGTTCCCTAAAGAAAAAGAAACACGTAAATCAATACTCTGCTTTTTTTTTTAACTTAACAGAGCACATGCAGGGCTAAATTAAGCAATTGTGAAGACATTTGTGCTTGATTTTTTAATCTGTATATAAATCAATACACTTTAAGGATTGGGTAAGCTTGCCTATTAATTCAATTAATTTTGCTAGTGTTCTTTAGAAAAAGATTTTATCAAATTGATGAACTTTCATAGAAGTCCACAAATGAAATATTGCCAACCTCTGTGGTCACTCCCTAGCCCTAAAAAAATAGGTAAAAGAACAAGAGGCCCACGGGCCTTATAGGTCACCTGAGTATCATGCAACAACTTCGCCACAATGGATTCATGTTTTCAACCAGAGGCCATGAAATTCACAATTTCGAAAGAGGCACACTTGCTCCTCATAATTTTACATTTAGTAAGCTTACTTAATACCCAGAAAGAGAGCAGAGGATTATCAAAGAATTAATGCATTTTCACTATGTAATCATTAGAGCCCTGCCCTAACACCAGAACCATGATGCAGGGGCCATAAAATTCACAATTTTGGAAGAGGCATCCTTACATATCATAACAATACTCTTAGTTCATCAGCTTAATACCCAGGAGAAAAGAAGAAGATTAAATTTTCAAAGAATTATTGCATTTTTACGATGTAATCATTAGAGCCCCACCCTAACACCAGAACCCCTGACCCAGGGGCCATGAATTTCAAAATTTTGGAATAGGCACACTTACATATCATAACTATACTCTTAGTTCATCGGCTTATTACCCAGGAGAAAAGGAGAAGATTGTCAAAGAATTATTGCATTTTTAACTATGTAATCATTAGAGCCCCGCCCTAAAACCAAAACCCCTGACCAGGGGGCCATGAAATTCACAACATAGGAATAGGCACCCTTATTCATCATAACTATGCCTTCGGTTTGTTTTCCCTGGATCAGGGAAGATTTTTAGAAGAAATAATGCATTTTCACTATACATGTATATTCAACAGAACGCTGCCCTAACACCAGAACCCCTGACCCTGGGGCCATGAAATTCACAATTTTGGAAGAGGCACCTTTCATCATAATAACTATGTATTTATTTTGTTTTCATAATATCCAAGAGCACAGAAGAAGCTTTTTAAAGAAATAATGCATTATCACTATATATTCAACAGAGCCCCACCCTAACACCAGAACCCCTGACCCTTGGGCCATGAAATTCACAAGTTTGGAAGAGGCACTATTTCTCATCATAACTATGTACTTAGTTCATCGGCTTAATACCCAGGAGCAGAGGAGAAGATTTTTGAATAATTAATGCATTTTCACTATATAACCATTAGATACCCGCTCTAACACCAGAACCCCTGACCCAGGGGCCATGAAATTCACAATTTTAGAAGAGACACCTTTCCTCATCATAACTATGCATATTGTTTGTTTCCTAAATACCCAAGAGCAGAGGAGAAGATTTTTTAAGAATAATGCTTTTCACTACATATTCAACAGAGCCCCACCCTAGCACCAGAACCCCTGACCCTGGGGCCATAAATTTCACAATTTAGGTAGAGGGCTCAATGCTTATTACATTCATGCCAACAGTTTGCCTGCTTGATGCCCAGGAGTAAAGAAGAAGATTTTTAAAGATTGCATTAATTCTGATGGTTTTAGCCCCACCCCTCAGGCCCCAGGGGGGTAGGGGTCATGAATTTCACAATTTTTACTCCCCTTCACATATAGATGCTATGTGCCAAATTTGGTTGAAATTGGTTCAGTGGTTCCAGAGAAGAAGCTGAAAATGTTCAAATGTTAATGCACGACGGACGACGCACGCCGACGGACGAAAACAGATAGCAATAGGTCACCTGAGTAAACTCAGGTGACCTAAAAATAACAAAGCTTAATGTAATGAGATTGCACAGTTGTTATCCATAAGTGAAGGAAATGTCTCTCATCAACTGAATGTTTTGGTAGTGTGGATACCTAGATACAACAACACTGCAAGTTTAGTCTGGATAGGTGAAATATATGGAGATAACGAACAGTATTCAAGCTCAAAAGTCCATTATACAATACAAAATAGGAGCAGAGCAAACACGGACCTCCAAACATCAGAGGTGGGATCAGGTGCCATGGAGGAGTGAGCATCCCCTGCCGACCGGTCACACCCGCCGTGTGCTCCTTGTCATGATTGGGATTGATTGATTGTATATTGTTTTACGTCCCATTCGAGAATTTTTCACTCATATAGAGACGTCACCAAATACCGGTGAAGGGCTTCAAATTTTGACCTTTACTCGGCACTCAGGGCCATTGAGCAGTGAGGGATCTTTATCGTGCCAACGCCTGCCGTGACACGGGGCCTCGGTTTTTAAGGTCTCATCCGAAAGACCCGCAACTTTCACTTCAATGTGCTGAGCGCATGGCGAAGGAACAGTTGCTACCTATTTTTTATCGACTTAGGTCTGTCGCGGCCGAGATTCGAACTCACGACCTCCCGATCACGGAGCGAGCGCTCTACCGACTGAGCTACCATGAACGGTCATGATTGGGAAATAATGGAAAAATCCGTCGACAATCCAGTGTGTAAACAACGGCCTAACAATTAGTATGAAAAACGTCAGTCAGCATTTGACTCAATGATAAATTGTATTTGCTGACAAGGTCATTGTATCGACCATAGAAATTACGAAATGATGACTTTAAACGAGACAGCTGATATTCTTGTTTCATCAACTTATTTGTCAATAATTTACCTCGTTTTAGAAATTGTACATATGTAGAGCATGCCCTTGCGTATCGAATCAACTGAGAGATATATACCCCGTATGCAGGTGATGAAGGTATATTGCTGCATAAGTAAGGGAAGTTGACGATTGAAAAGTTAAAGTCATCACGTTTATCATAAAGCTTGGTTGTTAGATTACCATTAACGTCTTTTTTAAGTAAAATATCCAAATATGAAACAGATGTGTCGGACTCTGTGGTATCTTTTATCTCAAGTTCACAAGGATATATCGTATCAACATAAGAATGAAAATAGCCATTGTTAATTGACAATACATCGTCGATATATCTAAATGTCGAGTTGAACGCCACAGCAAGTGTTTTCTTCTTTTCACGTACAAGATTTTGGACAAATTCTGCTTCATATGAATACAAAAAAAGGTCTGCTAATAACAGGGCGCAATTGGTACCCATAGGAATTCCAATAGATTGTTGGAAGACCTGGTCTCCAAAAACCACATAGATATTGTCAATCAGAAACTCAAGCATCTTTTTAATGTCAACTTCAGAGTACTTGTGTGTACAATCAGAATATTTTTTAACAAAATAATTTTGCAAATGAGCAATGACAAGGTAAGTATATTTACGAGTTCCATTTTTATTGAAAAAGCAACTGTCAATGGTATCAAAAAGCCTGGACTTTAATTTATCGTGGGGAATGGTTGTGTATAAAGTTGAAAAGTCGTAAGTTTTTAAGCTGTTGATTTTGGTAAAATCTTGTGATTTCAATTTTTCAAAAGTTCCTTGGAATTTTTAAGTATCCACATCTGATTTACACCACTTCTCGAATATATTGTTGCACAGTACTCTTTTCTCCTTCACTACTGTCAATATCTTAGTGAGGAGTAAAGATAGAGGCTTGGTTGAACATTTACTGGAACCCGCTATGTATCTTTGTTTGTAAGGATTTTTATGAAGTTTTGGAATCCAATATAAATATGGTAATTCGAATTCATTTTGGTTGTTTGGATTATTAAAAATATTCAAAACTGACATATGATTTTGAAGAATTTCTTCCTTAGAAAGGGAACTATGATAATAAGTTGGATTACCACTTGTAGAATTAAATCCAAGTTCCTCTAAAATACATTTAATATAATGAGCCTTACAAACAAAGACAATGTTGTTACCTGCTTTGTCAGCAGGGACCAGCATGTACTGATCATGTAATCTATCTAATTCTATTTTCACTTCTGGATTATTGAATACAGAAGGATAGATGGTTTTCATATTGCTTCTCAATCTTTTAATGCGTGATTTTAACATACATCTGATACATTTAATCCATTCTGACAAAGTGTCAAGGTCTTCTTTTTCATGTCTGGCCCATCGCCTGGCGTAGTCCTCTACAGAATCCATAATATTTATGAAATTCTTACGCCAGTTGAAGGATCTGGGTTCCCTAAATTTCTCTCCAAACAGAAATTTTGTGAAATTACTTAATTAGTAATTTAGGTCTTATAGCTTCACTGGAATGTTTCAGAAAGGATGATGTGCCAAAATTTCTGACTGCGGCCCCTCTTTCTACGATGAATTGTATTTAATTTACAATGATTTTGATAGTTTTCAAACAAGAGTGAGTAAATACAACGCATTTTGAATAGTTTCAATAGTTCTGACACATTATAAATACAGTACAGCCAATGTGCATCCTTTTCCCACACCCCGTCGCGGAATAAACACAACACCAGATTTCGCCAGGTGAGACAGGTAAACCAGTTCCCACCAAAGGAATCTCATATCATCTACCTGTCCCCCACCATGGTTAAATCATTGATCAACTAGTATCTCTCCAAACAGAAATTTTGTGAAATTCCTTGTATTAAAAATCTAGTGTTACAAGGAATGCATGTACCGCCTGTTTTGTTGCTTCATTAAAGATGTATATATATGTAAGAGTGGTCAGCTTTTTATTTACTATTAGCATGACAGTTTGTGCATTTGCCTGCAAAGAAAAATTGGCATCCATGGATAGGATAAGACTGCAATAGAATCTGACAATCAAAGAAAATATGGTTTCCTAACCCTCAAATGAATAATTAAATTGAAATTATTTGAAATAAATATTTATCATTTTTATGTGTTTCCAACAATCCTCCAAAAGAGATTTCAGTCTATCTTTACTGCAATTGTCAGTCTACATGACCCATTGTGGAATACCGATCCCAATATATATTTATAGTATTTAAATATAAGTTTATGTGATAACT